ATTCTTACAATATCAATGTGAAGCTGCTTATATATATAAAGTTGATAATCTTGACTATAATCTTATACTAGAACTTGTCTGACTATCTGAATAAGACATCTTATTAAATGCTTAAAATAGAAGCTTAATATTCTCTAACAGTGATAGAATTCATGAAGATAATATTTACAAGACTATGAATCTTACACAGATCTCTGTTAATAATTATGAAATACTCTGAAAAAGAAGTCATCAATGAGACTACTGATAAAGTCATTAATAGTAGAATTATATAGCAATCTATTCCATCAGTCTGACTGATATTAAGAACACTCTAGAGAAGTTATTCTGTACTACAATAATAGATTGTTATACAAAACTCTTCTAATAATATCATGAATATCTAGATATCTTCTGATAAGATAACATTATAAATATACCTCTCTTACAAGACTCAGAAGTGAATCATAGTATTAAGTTAGAAAAGAAGAATAATAAGAATCTCAAGTCATCAGAAGACTCTCTTTACAATATGTCTCAAGATGAACTTCTTCTTCTTCAGAAGACACTTAATAATCTATTAAATAAGAGATTTATACATATTAGTAACTCTTTCACTGCAGCTTCTATTCTCTTTACAAAGAAATCAAATAAAGAACTTTAATTCTGTGTAAACTATCAAGATCTGAATAGATTGATAAAGAAAGATTGTTATTTCTTATCTCTTATTAATGAAACTCTAGCATGTATCAGACAAGCTCAATGATTTATAAAGCTAGATATTATTGCTATGTTTAATAAGATTATATCACTAAAAGAAGATGAATAACTTACAGCATTCTGAACATATTATAATTTCTTTGAAATGATAGTCACACTCTTTGAACCTGATTAACACTCTCAGTATATTTCAGAAGTATATCAACTGAGCACTCTGAGATTTTCTTAATAAGTTTGTATCTGTATATCTAAATAAAATTCTCATCTTCACTGATGAATTCAGAAAGAAATATCAGAAATATATACAGAGAGTATTACAATAATTACAAGAAGCAGAACTATTAATAGATATTAATAAGTGTGATTTCAAAGTCAAGAGTACAAAATACTTAGATTTTATTATAAAAGCTGATAAGAAGATTTAAATGAATTCTGAGAAGATCTCTGTCATTCTTGAATGAAAAGCTTTATATACTGTGAAAGATGTACAAAGCTTCATTGAATTTACTAACTTCTATCAGTGATTTATACAAAACTTCTCAGATATTGTAAGATCACTTACAGAACTTATCAAGAAGAACTCAGTATTTCAGTGATCAGCAGATGCTGAAGCTGCATTTATATAGATAAAGAGAATATTCATTAATATCTCTCTATTGATAATATTTGATTCTGATCATAAGACAGTTATTGAAGCTGACTTCTCTGACTATATCATAGAAGAAGCTATATTATAATATGATAATAAAGATGTCTTACAATTATATATCTTCATGTCTAAGAAACTGAGTCTCACTGAATGCAATTATAAGATCTATGATAAGAAACTTCTCACAATTATATACTGTCTAGAAGAATGAGATTCTAAACTCTGAAGTATCTTCAAATTTGAGATAATCACAGATTATAAGAATCTCAAGCATTTCACAATTATCTACAAGCCTATCAAATGTCAGATATAATGATTTAAGCTATTAAACTGTTTTCATTTTACTATACACTATCATCTCAGCAGTCAGAACTCAATGATAGATGCTCTCTCATGACAAGAGTAAGATATGTCTTTCAATGTAACAGATATCTATTGAATGAACTGAGAACATCAGCTCTTAAATCTGAAGATATTAGTTAATCAAGATGAAACAATTCATGATACTATATATACTTCTCTAATTAGAACATTTCTTCTCTGAACTGTCACTGATATTAACACTGATACTGATATCTCAACTTCTTCTGAATCTACACTGAATGAATTGTAGTATATAATAGCTTAAACTGATGAACTTCTTCAAGTGCTCACTGAAGCAGTATATCAAGAAGCACTCTGATTCCTCTCAGAACTACATATAAGAATTGACATCTCAGAATACTTAATTGATAACAATAACACTCTGTAATTCTGTGAATGATATGAAGTCTCTTACTCTGAACTCTTACACATCTGAATAATGTAAGAGATGCATGATTTGTATATAACTGATTATTCAGATTATAAGCAATTGTATCAAATGATCTTTTAAGAGTTCTACTGATCTGAGATATTAAATAGTATCAGATATTTTATCTGAAACTGCAACTGTTATTCTTTTATTATCTTGTAAAAGAACTGTAGAAAAGATCTACTGAAATCACTTAATATCTCTGATAGAATCTGATGAGATGTAGTAATTAACTTCACTATTAATCTCTCTGAGAGTAAGAGTTGTAGTAACATTCTGATTATTGTAAACTAATTAAGCAAAGATATAATATTGAAATCTTATAATAAGATAAATATTGAATAAGTCACTGAAGTCTTTCTACAGAGTCTGTTCTATCAGATATATGAATTACTGAGATCTATAGTCTTGAATCAGAGTCATCAATTCATGAGTACTCTCTGAACAAGAATCTGTCAAGTTCTCAAGATTATACACTGTTTGTTAACTGTCTATCACTCTGAGACTGATAATGCATTAGAATGAATAATTCAGACTGTAAAGAACTATCTGTATAAGTTCTATAATTATTCACAGAATGATTGATATGATCTTCTTCTATATATAGAGATTACTATCAATAATCAAGATACTGTTTTAATAGATATAAGCCTGTTCTTTCTTACACATGATTATCACATGAAAGTGTTAAATCTTCTAAAGATTACACAGTTTATATCAAATTCTTACAGTCTGATTCAGATTGCTGATAATATAGTAATAAAGCTCTGAGATACTTATGACTGAGCTGAAGCCTTCATAGTAAGTGCTAAACAAGATTAAGAAGATTGAATCAATGTCTACTGAGATCTCACTGAGTAATATAAGATAGAAGATCTGATATGATTGAATCTTAAGAATATACAGATTATATACTCATCTTGTACACTGAATCATCATTATATCAAGTATAAAGTGATAGAAGTTCTAGACAGTTATAACTACTGTCTTGACATATTATCAGAGATTCATAATATCTTCTATATAAGCTTACTTCATCATGCTGTCACTGATTCATTTTCTTCTTAACTGACTTTCAACAGACAGCTGTCAGAAATCATAAAAGAAAATAATAAACTTGAATAGAAGATTGAAGATATTCTTGATAAGAGATCTTACAGCTATAACTGATAATATCTTATGAAATGAGTCAGTTATAATCATCTAATCTAGACTCTGAGCTCTGTGTTATCTGAGACAGCAGCTCTTGATTAATAAGAACTATACACTCACAACTCTATATCACTTCTGAAAAGAAGAGATTAATATAACAGACTGCACTTAATCAATTATATAGACTATTCTATTACACTTCATAGATTTCACTGAAAGCTTCAATTCTCAGTTATCAATTCTCAGCTGAAAGACTCATGAAATTTCTATTCTTTCACTCTGAAGCTTTACTATGTACATGTATAAATATTCACTCTGATCACTGATTTCTGTACTTTCTCTTTTTTCCTTCTTTAATATTTTTCACTTTTGTATTATAAGACCTATATATTATACTGATCTATTCAGCGTAGGCCTGTTATAAATTCAGAGATATATATATACAAAGTAATTATTCACAGATGTTATCAGATAAGAGTTTTGAAATCAGAGTATTAATATATAATTTAAAGAACTGAGCTGTATTTAAATAATTATATACATTTCAATATTTATAAAACTTAATTAATAAAGATATAATATTTTACAGAGATACTGATATTAAATTTATAATATATACTGATATTAATTGAGTTAATAGAGATTCAGAATTCTATTCAATTATCAGCTATATTATATATATAAAAGATAAATCTGTTATATAATAAAGCTGTTGACAAACTGAAATTTTTAAATTATTAATTAAAACTGAATATATTATATTTTCTGAAACTGTTTATAAGCTTATCTATTTACACAAGCTTTTAAAAAATATTGAATTTATTTCATTTTATTTTAATAATTTAAATACTGATAATTACTTCATTCTCATCTTAGTTAATAATTTTATTTATACAATTTATACTGATAATAAATCTGTTATAAATCTATTTTCTTCTGAAGTAATTCACACTGATTAATGTATATAAAAATCTATTTTCATATTCTTCAGAATCTTGTCTGTAAGAATAAAATATCTATTTAATATATTTCATCTATCAAAAAAAAACATAGCAGGTGAGTTTATTAAATCACTTAAATTATTGAAATATATATATTAAAAGAAGAATATTAAGATAAAGAAATAAAAAGATAAAAAAAATAATAAATTTTATAACTGATTTTTTTTTATTTCAGTTGTTTTTATATCTGCATGTGATTTAAAGATGAATTTTATATGTAATATTATATATAATTACTCTGATAAGTGAGAGTGTTAAGTTATATATTCTGACTTCTTAATTCTTTCACTATATAACTTTTCATAAGCTAGTAATTTTTTCAATTAAGCAAGCTTTATATTTTTCACATTTTACTGTTTCTTTTATTTTTATTTTATCTTTCAATTATTATCAGTCTTCTGTGAAATCTTCAGTATAAAACACTTTTAATCTTGTATGTAGATCTCATTTTCTAGTTACACAGCTACTCTATCAGATTACAAACATTTACTTGAGTGAAGCAGTAATTAAAAGAGATGTATAATTGTCTCTCTGTAAGTCAACTGCTTCTGCTCATACTTGCTTACAGTTGCTGATTCATATAGTCAGTGATTGCAAGCTCTTTATTAAAAGTCATGTAGCAGCAATTCAACTACTCTGAAAATACCTTCATTAAAAAAGATGTATAATTTTATTACCAATGAAATCACTGAGTTAAAATAGCATATTGATGGTAAAAGTAAGCAAGATATGTATTGAATGATAATTGAATGATTCTAGAGAAACATGGATATTTTGATTTTTCTTGCTACTAATTTTCAGAGGGGGGCTGAGAAAATTCTGTTTTCGGAAGCAATACTCCGTACATCCGCCACAATATTGTTCGTATGTGATACTCTATAAATAGTAACTCACAAATCATGACATATATTCATCCATTCACTCATCATGATTCAGATGTACTATCTAATCATCTCATCATCATTTGCAAAGCCTCAATACCTCTAACCAACAAGCAACCTCCACCCAACACGCCCCACACCAGACTCCCACAATAAAAACACTCACCACTCCCAACAGCTTCCTCCTCACTTACCCCTTTTCTCACCGTTTCCAAGAGCCCTCTTTTTCCAAATTAGCGAATGAATGAATGAATCAGCGAAATAAAATAAAGAGCCCTGTATGGTCTATGTCTATGATGAAACATGTTGGGAGGACAAAGTTGAGGGTTGGGTTGAGCGTCAGTGGCTGAGTGGCAAAGTAAGGCAGAGCGGATGGGTTAATAGATAATATCGAGCGGCCAGAATAGAGTTATTATGGATTAGACGCAGGCATCTTGGGGTGGGAGTAGTGGGGGGGAAACACTTTTGAAGATATGTACATGTATGTGTTGGGCGGGATGGTTGGTTGGTTGATGGTTGGTGGTATTCGGCATGAAAAAGAAATGATGCAGAAAAAAAAAATAAAAAAATAAGGGAAGACGAAAGTGCACACACCGCGCGCGATGATATATAGAACATTGGGAGATGAGATAGGTAGACTGAAACCGGGTCTATAGGAAATTCTAACCAATATATGTATACCATTCATCCCATCCGTCTGGTGTAATAAACCCAACTGTCCGAGGCACCCGCGAGATATCAGTATGGGAATGGAGTGCAAACCAACCCCGCCCATGCCCATTTGGCGTGATTGGGTTCAATGAGGGAAAAGGAAGGGGAAAGAGGGATGATATGATTCCTTGGAACAAGCTGCAGCTCGAGCTCTTCGGGTATTTCCTTACCCTCTGGTCCCTCTCATCATTCTCTTCAGCAGCCGAATCCGAAATTCATCGCTTCGCAGTCACCTCATTATATAGAAAATTAACATTTTTAAAAAATAAGAAGGCAGGTAGGCCCTTTTTAGCGTGAGCGCAAGGCGTCTCTCACAATGGTATGGGGTGGGGTGCAAAAACAACTATCTATCGATAAAAAATAAAAATAAAAAGTACTGAAAAATAGCTCGTATAGTAAATTGTGCAGAAAAGCAGGACGGATATATAAATGTAAAGAAGAGGTCTAGATATAAGCGGTGTAATAAATGAATTATAATTATAGGGCATAAAATATGGTCTAGGGTGAATCAATAGGGGAACGTCTCCCTCTCACTGTGTATGTGTGTCTAATAATAAAAGGAGCGTAAAAGGTGGGTATCTCTAGCAAAAGCAGCATTATAAAGGAGCGTCATCATTCATCGTCCAACATGATCGGTCGTCGCATGGTAATGAGCTGTAAGGAATGGAAAGGACGAAGGGACGAAATCACGGCTATTCCCCAAAAGTCGACGATGTCGTGTTGTGAAAACACTTCACTTGACAATTGAGGGATAAAGCCAACGAAATAAAAGAAGGCATGTGGATAGATTAGTTTGTACAAGGAAGAGAAGGGGACATTTGAATCAACGAGAAGCGAGAGCGGGACTTGTATGTATGTGAGAAACAGAAGAAAGTAATAAATGAAAATTGAAATCCGAACAAAAAGGCGACGGGGAAATGGCAACCAATTATGATACAAGGTCACAGGATGGGATGATGGCCAGCGCAGCTTTATCGACGTCTGTCAGGCTTTTATCCCAGGGGTGAACAGATCTTGCAAGAACTTAAAGAACGTTCTCTTCCGTAACGATTTGCCCGACGGATACGAAGATCGTTGAAGAACAGGCGCCACAGACATTGGTCCAACAATATCCTCATCACCACGGTCAGGAAACTTGCTTTTATCGTCCAGCTGTGGGATTTTGATGGCTTCGACGCTGGAGATGTCCGGTTTGTGTAGCAAGCTGACAGGATTACCTCTGCCGTCTTCCAAACCTGCGACGAGTTCGTTGTGGTTCCCTCTCCATCCAGCCTCCACCGAATCCCATTTCTCCTCCGTGAGCCGGTAGATGTTGGATGTTGCGCCGTAGTGCTCTGCAATGCGAGTGAGATGTTTCGCGTAATTGCAGCGGGCAAGCGCCCAATTGTTCCTGTGCTCCTCGAAGGCTTCGAGCGTTCGGGAGGTGGGGAGATAGGGTTCAGGTCGGATGGTGAAATTCGCATGGCCTAGCTTGTCGGACCACTCGTCATCCGTCTCTGGCATTGCGACTGGGGAGAGATCTTGAACCTGAGTTCTGGCTCCTGCCAATTGTCGACTGATGGATGATACAGAGGCCTGTTTGGATAGCGGTGGTGAAGGTAGGCATGTCGCTCTGGAAGCGTCGAGGGAGTTGTGGGTTGTATTTGGGTGCGAGTTGCTGTCAGTCACATCAGCTACGGAGGGGGACTGTAGTGGTGACTGTGTGGGCGATATGTTATCCCGATTCGGAAGGTTCACCATCAAAGGTGGCAGTAAAGGTGTGGTTGCCTTTGGCTCTGTGTCTATTATACCCTGTCGATTGGCCATGTCGATGTCTATGGGATGAATACCACTCTCATGTAACCGATCTTCAAAAGCTGTTCTTGCTGGAGAGGGGGATGTGTGGCCTTGTCGGATGGAGAGTGAGCTAACTGTCGGGCTCACCAACGTCGACGTTGCAGAATTTGCACGCGATCTCAGCGATTCATCATATTTTTCCAAGACTGCCGTATCTATTCCTTGCTTGTGTTTCCATTTCGACGACATGGAAGTAAATCGGTTGCTTAAGCGAGAGATGCCGCGAAAGGATGTAGCTGTGCTGCCATCCGACTTTCGCTTCTTGGGTGAGCTCGGCTTTTCCACCACGTCGTCTGAAAGATCGTATTCCAGCACTGCGGAATAGCCATCGTCCGCGTGAACCTGGTTGAAGTGCGCTACAATTTCACCAGAGATGTTAGAAGACGGAAAACAATGCTTGTTGTCCCCAGTTTGCGAACGACAGTAGGGCTCACCAAAATAAGGGCTTCCGTCAACCAGACTCGTATCGAGCTCAAGTGGGTCCTCTTTGACGTCGGTCAGCGGGGTCTTCATAGTGCTATATCCTTCTATAAGGCTCCCCAAGCCAGGAGAAGAGGCTAACGAAGACGCGGAGCTGGGGAATCTGTTATGGGCTCTTGCGGAGAAGAGAGATACAGCGGGCGAACCCGGGTTGGATGACGCGACAGACTGGGGAGACTGAGGTGAGGGGCTAGCGTAGGGAGGGGGTTGGCTTGATTCCATGCTTCGTTCCGAGCATTCGCGTCTGTCTGTTTCAAAAAGCTGCGATAGAAGAACCATAGTCTTGAAGTAGTATTTCTCCTCTTTTTAAATAAAGGCTTTATAGCATGATGTAAACGTCTTGTGTGTACGAAGTTGAGTGAGTGCGATTCGTTGTTACTTCGTAGCAGGAGAGAACGAACGTGCGCGGGCGATAAGCCGGACACGCGATAAAATACGTGGCGGTGGGTGGATGGGAGCCCAACGGGTAATGTGAGGAGTTGGTCAATGTGTTTTTTTTTTTTTTTTTTTGTGTATGTGTTGCTGCCAGTTGCGAGCAAGACTAATAACAAAAACAGAAAAACAGAGCGTGGGGTTCCTGTTTTCACGGTGGGATGTTTCTTATAACCCTGACTGACAAAGAACCAGAGCGGTGGATGTTGCTTGTTGTAGTCTCCGTTACACTAAGATGGATGGATGGTGGTTTTCGTGCGCTAACGTAGGCTTTTGGCAGCAGGATTGGATTCGACGGCTTGCTCAAGGAATATGAAAAGGGGAGGCAACACTCATTGATGTAGAAGTGTCAGGGCCTAAATCTCAGAAATACTAGCTTGACGGAGATGGAGACGATGACAGCGGCAGAGATTGGGGTGATTGTATTTAAAGACGAGCGAGAAGAAGTGGGAGAGCGAGAGGCTGGATGGATCCAGGAGGTCAGCGATTTCTTAAAAGTCAACGGGATCTGCAGAGTTGCCCAGCGGGAACAAGCAGCATTGATTGACATGAAGCACGAACTGGAGAGCGAGGAGGATCTTCCAATCGGCTGGACGAGGAAAAAGTGAGGGTAGAAATATGTGACGGGGGTGACAGGGCGAGCGCTGAAGCTCTCTCTCTCTCTCTCTCTCTCTCTCTCTCTCTCTCCCCCCCTCTCTGTGGGGACAGCACACCAGCAGACACAGGGGAATGAATAGCCAGGACAGATGTCACCGACGACGTCATAGACGAACAACAGAAAGGCTAATAATAATAATAAGGAGAGGAGGAGGCATCAAGGGGAGAAGTAGAGTGTGACGGTGACTGACCGTATCTCTCTCGTTTGTACGGAGTACAGATAGATCGATGTATGTGTGCCTGTGGCAAGCGCCTGAGTTGTCCACCGCAGCCCAGGCAAGGCATGGCAGGAATCGGGCAACAAACTTGGAACTTGACAGGGAGGGAAAATGGAAAAAGAAAAGAAAAGGAAAGTAGTGAGAGAAAAAAGAAACAAAGCAGCCACTTACAGACGTCCAGCGCAAAATGCAAAATGCAAAATGCAACAGCCCCAGTAACTTCTTCAGCCCTTGCACCCAACCAACCGCGCAGGACAGAGCTCACGCCAGTACGCTTGCCGCCAATAGGGAATCGGTCCAGCTGCGGATTATTTGTGTTGTAAGAGCGGAAGAAAGCGAGTGGAGTATTATTGTTTTATTTTTAAGGAACGAGTAAGTCAGAGGAGAGGGGAGACAAGAGGAGGAGGAGGAGGAGGAGAAGAAGAAAAGAGAAAATATGCCCCAAGAGGCGGAGAATGACGAAGGTTTAAAGTGGAGGAATACTATTTCGGCGGGAGGCGGGAGGGACAAACACAAACAGACAGACCGCCAGGAAGGTTTTAGCTGGCTTGCTGGTGTTTATTCTTATTTCTACTTTATTCCAATGTCTATTTATTATTATTCATTAGTTATTTATTTAGCTTACCCTTTAATAATCATGCTGATGCTATATCCGGTTTGCTGCCGGTATGGTATCCTATCCTGACGAAAATGATCAACCCCATATATATATATATAGTTATATATACCACACATCATCTGAAAAAACATGCAGTTCCCGAAAATAAATAATAATAAAAACGAAAAGAAGTCCTGGTGCTACAGCACAAGCAGGCCCCTGACCTGAGAGGGAGTCAAAGCCCACCGCCTCCATGCAGACAAAGAGAAGCAGGAAAGAAGAAGAAAGAAACAGTGTCGAATTCAGCGTTTATTTCTTCTTTTCTGGTTTTCCGGCTTCTTGCTTTCTTTGCTTGCTTCTCTTGCCAAAAACATCATCCCACATCTACATTGTAAGTAACAGTTACCACAGCAAAAACAAAGCAAAAACAAAGTGAAAACATAAAAAAAGGAAGGCCAAAGAACGATCTCGCCCAGAGCCAGGCCCGGCTTCAGTGAAACAGACTTCGCATGGAACGTGGCTCCATTCCCATTCCACGCCCGTTATTCTGGCCCTGCTAGAGCTTAACTTAGCTCAGCTTGGCTTCACCTAGGGCTTGTCTTCCGCCTGCTTCCGCCCCCGCTCAAGACCCGCTGCTTATTACAACTGCGCAACACGTCGTCGGAACGCTGGGCACGCATTCTTTCTTTTGGCCCTTGATGAGTGGTTTGGAGGGGTGCACGTGCCTTCGCTCCCCACATCCGTGGTTGGCGCGCCTCATCGCAGCATTATTATCACAACCACAACTGTAACGTGCCCTGGGCGGGGGTGGCAAGGCCCCGCCACGGAGCAAGCTATTTCAGATAGAAAGAAGATATGAGATATCACAAGATTGCGGAAGCTTGCAGAAACTTGCAGACTATTCTTATTCGGAATGGCATCTTCAATGATGTCATAGATTAGATTTGAGACTCTGAGAGATTGAAACTCTGTTCTATATATCTAGCTGCAGACCTGACCATGCTCACATTCTAGAAACTCTATTAGAATCTTGATACTGTCAATGAATTCTCATTTTATAGATAAGCTTAAGTTCAATTGATCTAGTACAGTGTCAGACATTAAGCTCTCTGCTCATCAGAATTATATTAATAATATTTTATTTAAGTACTTTTCATAATTATTACTAGTAAAGATATCTCTCTATTTATCTCTCTTCTCTCTACAGAGAGCGCTATCAAAAGAATTGCGCCGCTCAGATTCAATTGATACAGCTAAGAAATATCACTATGTTTTAATGAGTAATTATATTTAGCTTCTAATCAGTCTGCATTCTATTTATATGAGATTGTCTGGCTACAAGAGCTCTTATAATGACTCTTAAATCACTTTATTTTAACAAGTTAAATACTGAAATCATGAAAATCACACAGATCTCAAAGAGTCAAATCAACTGTATATATAAATATGCAATTGAATGTGAATTTAATTCTGAACTATCACATATTATACTTCATAATAAATGACTTAGAGATACTCTCAAATCTGACTGAATAACTCAGAAAAGTAGTAGTATTAAAGATACTATTCTTACAAAAATTTAACATGATTAATAAAGTTTATAGAGTTAGAAAATGATAATGAATATAGAGAAGAAAGATAGTATAAGTAGATAAAGAAGTAGAATACTTATCTGACTGTGAGATGAGATTGACAGGCAGATTACATATTAAAAAGATGACAGTGAAGACAATGAATAATCAAGAACTGAATATTCAGTATAAATTACAGTGTGAATTTCTGCCAAGATTTGTAACACTGTCTAGCTGTCTTTTTACCGGTGTAATTCTTTTAATAGTGCTCTCTGTATCTCTCTTCTCTCTTCTCTCTATTTATTATAGAAAAACCAACTTTTTCATGTAAAAAATACTGTAATGTGACATTACATGCATCTTATTAAAAATATGTAGTAGTATCTTATTATGTACTCTCTTTATCATCATCATTATCTGTAACACTCTGTAGCACTCTTTATTACTTTCACTTTATATCTTTATCTCTTTCACTTTAACTCTCTCTCTATCATCTCTATTATCTCTATTCTCTTTACTATCATCACTGTCTCTATCATCTCTATCACTTCTTTTATCTTTACTTTCTCTATCATTATCACTGTCTCTACCGCTCCGCAGCTCTCTCTATTACTTTTATCTTATTTCTACTCTGATTTTATCACTCTTTCTCTTATTATCTCTATCATTTCTTTCACTTCTATCTCTTTTTTATCATTTCTATCATCTCTACTAACTTTACTACTTCTTTCACATTTACTCTCTTTATTACTATTACTGTTTTTACTGCTCTACAGCTTCTTTTGTGATTCAAAGATTGCTTCCTCAGCGTACGATTACAGGCGTACGCCGGCTTCTTATATATCATACGCTAAATTAATTAGTGGCTGCTATGGCCTCTTTACATTTGTAAGCAAGTTTGAAAGTGACTGTGTTATTATCTGATGATTGTACATTCTTCTGAATTACATTCTCTCTCATCAGATTCAGTCACACTTATGTAATCATATTGTATGCTCTAGCTTCATGCAGATTAGCTTGTCACTAGTGTTTCATAATTATATAATCTATCTCTGATTCAGCTAGTATTCTGTGTACACTCTTACAAAGAAACTTTCACTATATTACATCTCTCATTCACTAACTTTTCTCATTCTTTAATCATCTTCTTCATCATTGTCATTATTGAATATTATTATCTTATTCAAGATTTCTATCTCTTCTTCTGTTTAACTCTTTCTATCTGTTTATTTATCACATTGTATATATTTCTGATAATAGCTTTCTGTTCTTATAACAAGTGTTCTCATAGTGTTTATATCAGGCAGTTTATTAGCAGTAAGTGTAATACATTGTGAAATATGATCAGAACTTGTTTATCTTTTAACAATTATCAGAATGTACTACTATAAATGACATATCTTCTTCATCTTCTTATACATTTCTGATTCTCTTTTCTTCAGTAGTATCTGATCATGTTTTTCTGATTGTATTATATATCTACAGATACTGATATTTTAATTTATATAGAATCTTCACATGTTAACAGATCTGCATCTGCTGATAATTATGATCTCAATATTGAATCATTGATTGAGAACTTGAAGAATATAATAATAAAGAAATTATCTGTACTATGTATAACTGAGTCTTCTATGTCTCTCTCTGCTCTCTCTGTTTCTTTCTCTATCACTTTCTCTCAATCTTCTATATTTATCTCTGTGTCTGATTCTTTCACTTCTGCTATTTCTATTCTTATAATCTCTACTCTCACTACTTCTGTTCTCTCTGATTCTGTTATCTCTGCTTTCATTATCAGCTCTCTCTGTTTCAAGAAGATATTGTATAGACTTAATGAACTATATTTCTCTGTATATATACTTTCACTCTTCTTATCAACTTCTAAAACAATTTATTGTATGAAAACTGTATATAATATAACTATCTAAAGCTCAGTTGTGAACACTGATTATTATATTCATTTTAAATATTTATAATAAGACAATTATTTATTTATATCAGAGAATCACTCTCTCTCTCAACAGTATTAAAATTATAAGTTGTTTTCTTTTTCATCTTTTCTTTCTGACACTGATTTTTCTGTTCTTAGAGAAAATCATTATGAGTTTTATTATATATGAAGTCATGATATTCACAGATATCAAGAAACTTTTTATAATTATTAAATTTAATATTATGAGTACATTTACTCTGATGAATATCTTCAGAATGATAGATCTGTATCAGTCTATTCTCTAGTATCTATTATTCAACTTCATGATACAGATAAAAGATATTCATATTTTCAGAAAAAGGAATATGAATATTGTACTCTTTTACACTCACAGATGTGAGACTTGTATATCTTGTCTAAGATGTTGTTATAAGAATAAGCTGTTTGTATACTGTATTCTGCTTAGACTGGCCGCTGGGACCATGAATTTCACATTTGGTTCCATTTGATCTGATCTCATACATTTCTTGGCGTGAATCCCGCTGGGACTAGCTATTAAAAAAACATGCAAAGTGACTATATATCAGATCTTAAAATGAAACCATGACTTGAAAAAAATGAGAAAGTGATCTCATTTGGTTTCATTTAGTCTCATTCTTGACATAAAGTTACTATTTTTAGACATTTTAAGGTTTTTTTTAGCCTATTTTTAATTTTTTAAAAAGTAACGCTTTTTGGTAACACTCAAATGAGATTTAAAGTCATTTAAAGCAATAAAAATAATTTAAATTGAGAAGTGAAAATCATGGTCTCATTTGAAAAATGTGATAAGAGTAGACAGTAAGTCTCACTGAGACAGTATAAGACTACTATCTAATGTTAAAACCATGTAATGGGATCAGTTGAATTGGTAATGAAACTATCAAAAAATCTGGTCCTGGTTTCAGACACGGTCACACGGTCAGTCTAATTCTGCTTTCTGCATTTCTCTGTGTCTCTCTCTCTCTTTCTGAGAAGCCCTGTGCATATTATAATTATATATACAACTCTAAGATCAGTGAGTGTTCATTCAGTAACTGTTCTTATCTCTGATTTTATGATTTTTATACACTAATAATAATTCTTAGTTGCTTCAGTGTCAGAGATCATTTTAATCAAAGATAATAACACTGTCAAGACTACTCTCTTTCACTCTTAAGCTTCTCTTATTACTTTCTCTTTCTCTTCTGCAGAGAAGGTTGTGTGTATATCAGATTATAAGTGTTCAGTCTCAGATGACTTTTACTGTTATTTATTCAGTTCTATATCTTCTTCTTCTTTCATTTCTTCTATCTCTACTCTTTCTGCTCTAACTTCTGATTCTGCAGATCTTACACTCTTCTTCAATTTTTCTACATGTATGCATACACATTTCTATATTGATATTTCAGTCAATCTTGTGATAAATGACATTAATGTCATACACAGAGTGATAGAGAAATCAGAGATATATACAGTATTATTACAAGAGCAGCTTGCAGCTCTTGAATTTCTTACAGATCTCAAGTTTTGAGATTTTCTTTATTTTTAATGTTTTTCAGATAGTGTGGCATTGAAAATAGATTAAATGTATGATATATAAAAATGAATGAGATGTGTATGATAACATTTATCTTTTATAACTGACTCTTACAGTTGATGATTAATTCATTTCTCTTTTCTTACACTTTTTCTTTATCTACTAGTCACTACTCTTACACAATCTCTATATGATACAGTGTTTAGTGACTAGATTCAGCAGCTTTCATCTTTTGTAATTCTGTCTCATATATTATACTGTCTCTCTTCACTCACTCAGATCACTACAGTAAACAGCTCATTAAAACTAATCTCACTCAATCTCTGAGTGTTCTCAGAGATCAAGATAGCTTAGTCTCATGTATTTATAAATATTTCAGATGCTTTATCCTCTATTGTCTCTGTAATTGAACTGATGTAAACAGTCAAATTCAACTCTGAATTTCTTTTTCTTCTGTAACCTGACTCATATACAAGTCTGCTGCTTTGAGACTGCTCTCTGTCATATTGTATCTACTGTCTGCAGTGTGTTATTATACAATCAGCTACAGTCTTATCACTTATTAAAGTATGATATTTATCTGATTTCTTTATTACTTCTCATTCTTTTCTTATAATTATGAAAAGATCAGAATAAGTGAGATTATCTGATTTATAAGCATCTATAATTTCTCTTACTTTATAAGACTTTTTAATTGTAAGTCTCTTCTTTTTCAACACTGATAATAGTGCTATGAATAATTATAATTCACTCAGATCATACATCTTTACTTTCATAAGTCATGAATTATTTATTAAGTTATATAAGATCTGTTCCTCTGATTCTTTCAATGTGTATATTCTCAGAGAATGTGATTTGAGTATTTTATATAACTCAAATCATCTAGGTTAAAACTTCTCAGAACTCTCATTATGTATAAGAACTCATATTTCTATCTTAAGACTT